CCTGTAGTCAAGGTTTACAAACTTTGTGTTGTGTACATCCTGTTTAAGGAAAAGTACGTTTTCGCCTACGGTTTGAGGAAGAAGTCACATATTTCTCATAAAATATTGCGACAAAAATGTGGAACATGTTGCATACATTATAGGCAGCATTCATAAATGGACGGATGTGATTTATGGTGAATGAACACCTCACAATCGTAAAAAAGCTCATAATTAGAAACGTTTTTTAAAACCGAAAGATACCATTTCTTTAAGTATAAAATTTAAAGAAGGCGTTATTTGCTACCAAACGAATGAAGGAAATATTTTTTCGTTTATATTTTCCACAAACTATATTTAAATTTATAAAGGCAGTCAAAATCGACGATAAAAATGCATACTACCTACGTAGCCATGTTTTGCAGTGCATGCTTTTCGTTAGCGGTCAGAAAGAAGCTCGTTAAAAAGCTGGCACCATATCATGATTGAAATGACTTCAGAATAGGCTACACGATAATTAGTATTACAGCCTTACTCAATACCGATTAGCGAGCGAATATCAATGTTTGGCAAATTTCGGCATGTTGCACGAATTCTGAGCCGTACTGTATGTGTACCACGCACCTGCTGACTGCCAAGTCCACAGGGACAAATATTTAGTGGATGGGAGGAGGGATATTGGACTTAATGCGGATGTGCGTAATGAAAACCAAACAAGGAGACAATGGCGGCCTCAGCCTCAGTACGATCGAGCTGTGTCATGCGCTGGAAAACCCCCAATTTAAGACTGGAGGGCGCGTCATAATAAGTCCAAAGGGGCGTCTGGCAGTTTGTTGTGGGAAGAGCAAACACCGATCACTGGTCACGGAGTTTCAAAACGTCAGTAAATGCTGCCTAATTCGTCGCTTTTGCTTTGTTCAAATAAAAGGAAAGTTATAAACAGCGACAGAGAGGATTTTGAACTTAAGCTGAGAATGTGAAATGGAACGCGTAGATTGCATAAATGTCCGTTCAGTCACATTGCGTCCAATTTTATCTCCAGTTGTCCGAAATCATTCCTACCATCCGAACACGGTTGTCACACACAGAGTTTGTTTCTGCATATTCATCCATGGTGTGCACTCTTATTATCAAGATGCAGTGGTGGATTAGCAGATCACGCATTGGTTGAAGAAAATACCGCGCGAGATTAAAGGTCATGTCAAGATATTACCTCTTAAGGCCAATTTTATGGAAATAAGTACGAGCGTAAAAAGTGTGTTTCGTTAGTAAAGGTGAATTTGATGGAAATCAATGTGACTCGAGGTAAACGCCGAGCTGTGAGATGAGCGCACTAATATCCTGCCTTCTCGACACCAAAAGTGATTCGATTCTGTTCCGGTCACAATATCTAGAATCCACTTCAAGGATAAGTGAACGTCCGCTGCGACCGTCCACAGTTGTACTACTCCACAATGCCAAAGTAAGGGTGCCTGTTGAGTAAACAATAGTCCTTGTATCATGAGAAGAAGATTGCCAAAAACGACAAGGGAGACTGGAACGGGCATTTACCGCTTATTAGTCGTCAACAGCTAGAAATGGCCATTCAATCAGTAATATTCTTCTGCCTATAGTACTAGCCGCTGTAAGGTTGTTGGTAGGACTAAAGAGTGAACTCTAAGGCACAACAGGATGCGTGAGCATCAATTTATCAGCCTTAATATCGCTGGACGAGTTCATGGACCTCATGCACAAGTCGAACATACTTGCACCTTCGGCGCAGTGTACTCTGTGACAAAAAGTTTGCCCACATCAAGGTGTATTTCGCGGTAGAAGACTCGTACAGGGTGTCCCAAGAAAATGTATACATCTTTTAATTAATTGTCAACTTCGTGTTCATTATAATTTTATTATTTAAAAAAAGTAAAAATATTTACAAGTATAAGTTTGTTGTTTTTTCACTGCATTTTGACTATTGCAATAGTGGCTGAATTGAGAGAAGACATTGAACATGGATGCACCCGAATATCAAGGGAATTGTTTCGTGGTGTGTGCGATTCCATCGCTTCGCATTGTCAGCAGTGTTATGATCAAAATGGATGTCAGTTTGAGAACATCCGGTGAAAAAAACAATAAACTGACACTTGTCCATATTTTTAAATTTTTTGCAATAAAATTATGATAAACGTCAATTTTACAATTATGTAAAATGTGTACACATTTTTATGGGACACCCTGTACATACGGAGGAAGTCGTGGATTATATGTTGAAGGTTTTAGCTAAAATGGCATGTTAGCAGTTGCTCGAATAGTTGAAAAGAAGTCCCCGAAGGGAAGTTTCCGTAAAAAAAAGTGAAACTGAATTATGGAAACCACGTATTATTGAAAAGCTAAAAAAGTGATCTTACCCAGTGACGACCAGCGAGTAATACCGGCCTTGAGTACAAGCATAACTCAAACAGCCTGCTTCAGAAGTTAATTTTCAACGCTCACTTGATCCCAAGGAATCCAATGATTGCCAATAGAGGACCTCAAGCGGTGGCTACGGGAACTGACAATTATAGCACGCATGCGGATAACTGCTACGAACTATAAATACCGTGCAACCTGTGCATGTATCACCCTTATCTGCTCATGGCTCCGACTTTTCTACAATTACCTCTGAATAAGGATTCCTGAGGGAATCCGAAACGTTAGGAAAATAAAACCCTTGTTCCAGTGATCGCATCTTCTTCTTCTGAATCCAATGATTGTCTGGATTGCGTTCTCTTAAAAGTAGCGATATGTTGGAGCAGGCCTGGCCCAGACAGAGGCTGAGCATGTACTTCGTCGCAGACAAAGCGCAATGCAGTAACGTTCGTTTACTATCGCACAGGAAGGCTACTTAATCACACTGAAATTCGCAGGTGGCAACAGCCTTTCATAAGGCGTTCTCTCAGTGTCCACCAGCACCCACTTAGTTCAGTATAGTTCAGGATATTTAGGGTAGTAGGCAATGCCTTTGAAGACCCTTTTGAAAACAGTATGC